GTGGGCTGAGTCCTCGTGGACCTGCAGAGCTGCCTGGCGCGGGCCAGCCTGCCCGCACAGCCGTTTCTCCAGCGCAGCCCAAGCGCTGTGTGTGCAGACCTGGGAGAGGCCGGTCTCTGGCTGACCGAGTTCCCCCGGGGTCACAGACACCGTGTCTGCGGGGCAAAGGACCACAGTCCCCTCCCAGCCGCCCTGACCCAGCCACTGACCCAGCTGGCCAGCCTAGGGAGCCTGCTCTGGGCCCACTGGTGTGCAGCTCGCTGGCCACACTGTCCCTCACGCTTCCCCGGGGCCTCCTGCGTTGCCTCAGCTGCCTTCCGATGCCCTCAGAGGTGGCCCCACCTGGCCGCCTCCTCCCTTCACCAGTGTCCAGTGCCTTCCCAGAGCCAAGCACACCGGGACAGGGGCCCGGTCCAGCAGGGACCTGCTCTGCATCTGGACACAGCCCCAGGCCCTGGACAGTAGCTTTAGACCAGACTCATAGCTGCTTTCCCTTCCTCACCCTGAAGACCCACACCCCACCCCGGAGGTTACAGCCCTCCCTGCCCCGGGGCAGGGCAGGCCGCAGTCCGTGGGGGCTTGTGCGGTGGACGGGCAGTTTCTGAGGCTGGCCAGGCAGGGCCGGAGGTGTGCCTTCACGGCCGGCTGGAGGGGGCTTCCAGAGGCGGGCGCAGTGGCCAGCACGACAGACAGCAGTTGTCCGGGGCACTTTAAAGTTAGAAATGCGCGCCTGTTTTTAAAAATACAGAAAGTGAAACACGAGGTAGGGGCGCTAGAATATGGGGGGGCTGTGAAATCAGGTGAGGACTAGCTGGGCGGCCGTCTCCCGAGCGCCCCCTGGCGCCCGTGCCGGACAGTGCAGGCGGGCCGCGTCGCACTGTGCGCGTGCGCGGACGCCCCGTGAGCGCAGGTGGGCTCCGGCGGGCCGCGGTGGCCCGGGCTGGCTCCCAGCGACGCTCGCTGTCCCTTTGCACCGGAGATTAGAGCCCCCACAGGGGGAGCAGTGAGTGTTCACGCCCGCCAACGTTTTAAGCAGCAGCTTCCCGCTTCTCGGGCATGTGCAGGGGGGTGGTCGTGCTGACGGGGAGGCCCGCTGAGGGCGCCCCCCTCGTCCCCCACCTCCCCCGCGACTCCAGCTCTGCTCGGCGTGTCTGTCCCGCCTGCCTGGCCACCTGCCCTGTCTCCCTGCCCTCGGTCTCTGCCTCTGCAGGGGAAACTGCAGAAACCGACTTGGGGTGCAGGGAGCCCGGGTGGCCCCTGGGGGCCCCTGGTGGGTGGCCAGCGTAAGTCACTCGACACTCACGGGCCCCACGTTTCCCTTTGAAAAGTGGAAAGACAGCCAAGCGGGGCCGGGGGAGGGTCGGGGGCCCAAGCCCTGGCAGTGTGGTGCTGCGAGACGTGTGTGAGACACACGGGACGCGCGGGCGAGAGCGGTGTGTGATGCTGTGAGTGTGGCACGCAGGTGTGTCTGCCGTGTCAGGTGTGCGGCCGTGTAGCGTGTGTGTGGCACGTGCCGTGCGTGCGGCGTGTGGCGTGTCTGTGGCGTGGGGCGTGCATGTGGACGGGCGCGGGAGCGCGTAGCGTGTCTATAGGGCACGAGGTGCGTGTCACACGTGTGCCCTGTGTATGTGGTGTGTGGCGTGAGCGGGTGTGGCGTGAGTGGACACTGCGCACACAGGGCAGCCTTGAGAGGGGCCCTCGGTGCGGTGTGGGTGAGGCAGGGCTGGGGCACCCCGGCTCCGCGGCCCCGCCAGGCCCCTCTGCTGACCTCGGGGCCGCTGCTGGCTCTGCTTCCCCGCAGGGCGAGAGCCGGAGGTGCGGGTGTGCCGCCTGAAGCGCCCGGCAAGTCCGGCTGCTTCCCAGGTAAGGAGGCCCCTGTGCGCCGGGCGTGGCCCGCGGGCGCTGCCGCTCCCGGTGACGGCCACGCCCTCTGAGTCCCCGCAGGCAGGGGCCTCGGAGCGGACGCACCGGTGCTCTGGCCGCAGGCGGACGCCGGACCCTGGGCCCGAGTCCCAGCCAGGAACCCCTGCCCCTGCCTCAGGGCAGGCCCGGAGCTCGTGCCCGCCCCCGACGTGGCCTCAGGGTAAGTGCCACTGAACCGCAGGCCTCAAGCTTGACTCGGCTCTGACCCCGTCTCCGTGGGGGTGCTCAGTTGCCCCGTAGCCCAGGACTGCCCGGGGAGCAGTGGTGGGGGGCAGTGGGCTCGGCAGGGCCGCCCAACTGGACCGGGCCTCCGACGGCAGCCCAGGTAACCGCCCTGTCCACGCCCTCCCGCCCACGGCCACTGCAGCCAGGCTCCACCATCTCCCGCCTGACCAGGGTCCTGGCCGCAACTAGCCGCAGCCCAGGGCAGGGCGCGCCGCACACCTGCTCTCTACACCCCACGCTGGGCTCCTGGGGCCTGCCCCTCACCCGGGGCGCTGAGGGCCGGTGCGAAGGGGGCTCTGGGGACTTCTGACGGCGGAGTGGGGCGTGGGCACGTGGCAGCCCCTGAAGGTGCAGCCAGGAGCCCCTGGGCCAGCTGTGGTCACCTCTGCCCCGGCTGACAGGCTTCTCTTGTCTGCAGGGACCGAGGAGGGGAGGAGGCCCAGACAGCGCCCAGCAGTTCCTGGGGCCCAAGGGGGCGCAGGGAGTCGCAGGCATTCAGCGGCCCCTTCGACACACCGGGACCTGTGAAGCACCCAAACTGGACAGGAGGGAGACAGGGCCGGGGCGGGGCCCACCTGAAGCTGGAGCCAGGAAGGACGGCCCCCTTCCCCGTGCACACCGCCCCCCGCGGCCCCGGCACCCCCTACCCAGGCGTCCAGGGCGCGGCTCACACCAGCAACCTCGCCGCCTTCCCGAGTCCGCCTGGCCCTCACCCGCCAGGCCGGCCGCCCGCAGCCTGTGCGGGCCGGGCGAGCAGAGCCGGGCAGGGCAGCGGCCAGGGCCAGGGCCAGCCTCACGCTGGCTGCCCCTTCCCGCAGGGGGGCCTGCAGAACGGGCTCCCCGAGCCCAGGGGGCAGCGCCTCCCAGCAGGAGGCTGCCCCTCAGAGGCTTCGGAGCTGCGCCGCGTGCTGCTGCCCCCAAGGGGCCCCTGCGGCCCCCTGGTGCCCCTGCCCATCAAGATGGAGAGCGACTCGGGGTCTGAGGACACGGCTGACTGCTGCCCGGGGGCCCCCAGCCAGCTGTGGCTGGGGGCCGGCGACATGGCCAAGAGGCAGCCGGGCTCCTTCCCGGTCAGGCTGCCCCTGAAGACAGAGCCCGAGTGCCGGCTGCCTCTGTGTGCCCCGTGCCCGGGGCAGGGCCTGCTGGAGGGGCCCCCGGGGTGCAGCCTCGAGCCTCTCCCGGGCCTCTGTGCACAGGCCCAGCAGCCACGCGCCCCGGGTTGTGGCTGCAGGGCCCCTGGGGCCGTGCCCAGCGTCAAACTTGAGCCTCTGGACGCCCAGGGCTGGGTGGCTCGCTGCCCGGGGGCGGTGCCCGGGGCCTTCCCCAAGAGCACCCTGGCCAGCCTGGTGCTGCCCCCCACCCCTGGGAGCACCTTCCTGCCCTAGGGGAGGCGCCCGGGCGCCCTCCACGCCGCCACGGGTCCTGGCCTCTGCGCTCCGGCCTCCACCAACACAGGAGTGCCGGGCGTGCCTAGGCCGGTCTGAGGGGCCACGGCTGCTCTTGGAGGAACGGGGACGTTTCAGAAACCAGGTGGGCAGCTCACGGAGGGCGGCTCCCAGCTCCTGCCCTGGGTGAGCGTGCCCGCCCCGCACCCAGAGGCCAGCTGAGTGACAGGCCCCGACCCTCCCACCCGGGTCAGAGCACCAGGCCGGGGCAGCACCCAGCCGCCAGGGCCACCTGTGCCCTCCGCCGTCTCCTGGTGTGCCCCGGGCACTGAGGAGCCCTGTATGTCCCAGCAGGAGGGGCAGAGCAAGGGGCGGGTGCGGGGAAGAAGGGAGGGCGCTGCTGTGCCCGGCTGTGGCGGCGCCCGGCCACCCTTGGGGCAGGGAGACCTGCGGGAGGCGCAGTGGGGGTGGGAGCCCCGCCCTCTCCGGCAGGCGCCTCCCGGGCATGGGCAGCGCGGCCGCGGGATCGGCCCTGGGCCCGGGCAGCGCCCTCTGGCCCTCGCCGCGGGCGCCGGGCAGGCTGCAGTTTTGGGGTGTTGGTGCCCGGCCCCGCACTGCTTGCTCTGGGCGCCTGCGCCTTGCCGAAGCACAGGGCCTGCAGGGCTGAGCTCTACCTCAGCCCTGGGGCCTGCTCGTGGCGCTGCTGTGGGGCTCCTGCTCCGCGGGCACCCCAGGGCTGCACTGCGGGTCTGCTCCTGGCACCGGCTGGGACCCCGGGGCCTCCCCAGCAGCCCCTCTGTGTCCACCTCTGCACTGCTCACAGGGCCTTCGGGGAAGTCCTCACAGCCCCCGTCATGACAAGGGCGCAGCCGGCCCCGCTGGCCAGCGCCCTCCCCTGTCCCGGTGCCCGGCAGCGGCTCACTTGCAGGGTGGGCCTGAGACGGGGACGGCAGACTCCACGGCCACCCTTGCCCGCCGGGGGCCCTTCCTGTCTCGGCAGGCGGCGTGCGGAGCCTGGCACAGGCGAAGGGGGGTGACGCTCAGACACCCCGCCTGTGCGCAGACCTTCCTCTGGCCAAACTGGGCAGCTGCGGGCCCTGCCCCGGGCTGCACTCCGAGCTCCCCCTCCCTGACCGCTGGGGTGCCCCAGGCCGCTCCAGGGCCACAGCACTCCGCGGTGCTGCCTGCACCCCCACTAGAGGGCCCCGGGACACAGCTCTTTGCTTTGCTGGGCTGGCGGCACAGGCCTGTCCCCCAGGGAGGGCGCCCAGCCGCGGGCCGTGGCCAAGCCGCCTCGCCTTTCCCGCCTGCTGCTTCTGCCTAAATAGCGGAAATATATGACATATAAACACAATTTATCTTTTATATTTTTGCGATTTCTACTGGGAGAAAAGTTTTTGACATCGCGGCAGACTTGCTGAAACTTAGATACGACAGGCTGAAACGCAACTTCTGTACGATCTTCTCAGCGCCTTATGTTCCCGTGTATTTCTGACTCTGCAGTTTACAGTAAAGACGCAGCATCACACGACAGCAGTCGCACGTCTTTGCTTTCTCGTGTCTGTGGTTCACCCGTGGGCGGGAGCCAGAAGGAACCGGGCGGGCTGAGGGGGCTGTGGTGGGTTGCAGCCGCCGTGGCCCCTCCTGCCCTCTGGCCTG